CCTCCCGAATATGTAAATAATTAAAGCATTTACTTCCGTCCATGCGCTTTTGGCGTATGATTAGCGCATCCAATTAGCTACTGAAAAATCCTTGGTTAGAATTCCAGTAAAGACGCAGTTGGTTTTCAATCATTTCGCTTTTTCGAAACAAACCCAAAAAAATATATCGTATAGAACCCATTTTTATTTTCCAAGTATATTGTTATGTGGGTATAAACAAGTGGAATTGCGTACTGATTTCAGAGGACAGCAAAGTCATTTTACAATGCACCAAGCTGGTTATAAAATGTAGTAATTTGTTTATCAGGTAATTAATAATCAAACTTTGGTAGGTCCTTGTTATCCGACATTTTGGATTTTCTGATACCATTAACTCAGTTCTTTTTATGTCGGATATTCGTCATTCTGCCTACTTTTGCTTTATCATTTAATTGCTTACTAATCATAGTTATTATAAGCCAGATGGCAAAACGGGTTATCCGAAATGACTTCAGACCGAATTCTTTTTTGTGGTTCAAAATGTTTAGCCAAAGCACAAACACTGTGCCAAAAGAAACAAAGAAAATAAATTAAATTAATTAAATAAAATAAACAAGGGATTGAATCTTTTTCTAGTGCTACTTATGTCATGGTTCAAATGCCAAGAAGACTGCGTATTGTTTTGATGTTCTTTTTCCTTTACTTGGGTATTCAACGCCCTCATCCAACTTTTGCATGTGGATCTTCTTTTTGTGGCTTATTATGGATCTTCGACTGCTAATGGAGAATGTTCAAAGCTGCTCCAAGGTGTTCTCCTTCTGATATTCGCCCGCTGACATGGCCCGTACCATTTCCGATGCAGTGCGAGAATGATGGATGTTGATGCATTCATCAAGTCCAACTACTCGAGATTCTCATTTATCCTGTCTAGACAGGCAGACCTGTGGTTCAAATGGATGGTCTTTCAACAAGCTCAGTACGTATTTCAAGAGGTTGGCTGGAAAAATACATTGAAAAGATATGGAGAGTTAGATTTGGTTGAAACTTTCATGTAGAGTGTCAGTAGTAAATTTAAATTGGGTATGAAAACAAATGATTGCACATATAACAAATTAATGTATAAGATAAACTGAGAATGATGCTTTATTATTAAAAGAACGCATAAGAGAAAAACGAAGCGATCTATTTAAACGCAGTGTATAATAAAAGACAGAATAGCAAAACAAAAAAAACAAAAACAAAAAAAAAACAAAAATCGCTTATTTTTAATAGTACTGAGTGTGAAGTTGTAGATTCCCGCCTCCTTCCAGTTTCAAAAGACAACAGTGCGGGAAATAGTGCAATGCGTATTGTGTTTAACTAAAAGAAAATCGCCCGAATTTTTTTCAGAAATGTGTGTCATGAAGATCAGAAAGATATGTTTTGGCAAAGAATTTGAATAGAGGTACTTAGATCCATCAAATTTTGAATAATTTACCGAACGTTTTACCGAACCATCATTCTCAGCTGACGATGATAGTTCGGTAAAAGCATCGAAACTAGTCCTGTGAAAATTTGAAAAAATAAAGCTGACTTTTATTGTTTGATTAACTTAAATAGTATGCCAAAAAAAAAAAAAAAAACCATCTGTGCACCTTTGGTTTTGCATACAAGCATCGAGAAACTTTTATTTTAAGACATAATAAATTCTGTACGGTTCCAAAATGTTGATGTGCTTTTAGAAATGGCTGATACCAGGCTGAATTAAAAATCATTACAGACTGTAGTCTCCTAGAAAACGATTCATCCGGCAGCGTTATTTTCTTCACAGCTGAGTTTCACTGTAAAGAAATCATTACTGCTTAGGCTTACAAGGCCTGGGCTCAGGCTGTATTTCAACAGTTATGATCGCCTCTTTAATAGCAACACCAACATTTTGATTGGCTTCCAAAAAATTATAGTGTCAACGTGAAATGGATTTTTTCTCACATCTTTTCTTTAGACATTGTCTAAAGAAAAGATGTGAAAAAAAGAAAGAAAAGTCAATCGTCAACACCTTGATTTAGACGACAGGTGTTCCTAGTCGTCTGTTAAATATGTTAAATATGGGAGAATGCAAGGAATTTGAAACATTCCAGCTATGTTTTGTTGTAGTTAGTCTAGCAGTAATCACATGAAACTAGGATTTGGAGGTCTAGAATTCTATTTCTGGTGAAGCACCGTTGATATTTTAAGATTGTTAGTCATAAAAATTCTGGAAAACTTTTTTTATTTTGTTTCATATGGTAGTGCGTACACTATAATTTCTCAAAGGGGAATTATCTCCCATGCTGGTGATGCTGAAAGCGATCTGAGTGGGTGTTATAGTAGTAATGGTCCAAAGACAGTAAGGGAGTATTGAGAAGCAAGTTAAAAAGAAACACACGTTTTTTTAAAATTTGATTGCTGAAACAGTTTGGAAACAATCATTGAAACATTCACTTGATTATACAAATAATACGATCACGAGTCATACCAAATTATATCGGTCAATCCTTCATTCAAGTTGGTCCAAGTCGTACGTTGTTTAATTTATTTGAACTGTTTCGTGGTGCGAGCATCTGATTGGAATCTGCGATCACTACTTTGCTTTGCTAGTTCACTTTTATAAATGTTTTGAGAAATCTTAAAATGTTATCATTCTTTTTCCTTATTGTTTTCTAAGCTTGGTTAATAAGCTGAGGCATAGCAACAGCAGGAAATACCTGTAAATTTTGAATGCGTTTTCAGTCAGTGCATACTGATTACAATCAAAAAAAATCTTAACATTTTACCGCAAAGGTAAAGATGCATAAAACAAATTCGAATGAGAGCAAAATAAGCTCGGAAAAAAGGCAGGGAGTCAAAGCGTTAGCGAAAATACGGTATAAATTAAAGAAAGAAACACTTGGTTGAAATAAATAAGAAAAGGAGGCTGAAAACGGATACTATATCACATAAAATGGCAATGTATTTAACATCCGTAATCGTTTTAGTTGCACCTTCCTTTTTTGCCTTTAAATTTTCAACTATCCGAAGTCTATAAGATCGATCCAAGGTTACCTTAAATAAAAAGCGGTTCTACTTCGTTTACCAAACTAGTTTAAAAGAGTTTACTTAATTATTTTATTGAGTTTTTGAACTCAAGAATGCTTCGAAACTGTTTCTTACTGTCTCTGCGTTATATGTGCAAAAATAAATCATTTTACTGTTTAAATTATTTTGGATCTTTTGTTATCGTCTTTAGGGAGAAGAAAGTTCGCTTATTGCGTCGGAAACATTCACCATTCTCATTAAAAATTAGAAATGTAGGGAAAAAAAAACTATGCTTGACTGCCATTAATTTTTTTTAGTGGTAACGTTTGTGATAGCGTCCCTGGAGTAATATTTTTCTTCTTTGAATTACCATAGTTCGCACCACCATAGTTCAGAGATAATCAAAACTTTTTTATCGAATAAAAAGTTGCAAAAATAATTATTTCCGTAATCGACTTCATTTTTCTCTCTTTTACTTAAATGAGCTAATGAATCTTTAGTAGATTATTATAATGATCGAAGATTTCATTTTCTCGATTTGATTTTTTTAATAAATAGCAACTGAATTCTTTTGCTTAAAAATAAAACTAAAGAATGTTTCTGATGTTAATTAAGCATTTAAATGATAGCTCTTAAAATGTAATTACCAAAAAATTCTTAATTAATACCATGAGAATGCTTTAAAGGGATAGAAAATAGCTTTCCATGGGAATTAAATGTTTACACTGTCCCTAAAACAAGCAGATTTCACAGATTTTAATGTATTGTTCGACAAAATAATACTTTCATTTAGAATTGTAAATTTATCATTTTGCAGTTATTATATATCTATAGGGAGCACACTCGCCATGCTTGGTGAAGAAATTTATTGTTCTATGCATTAAACTATGGTAATGATGTAATTTTTGAAATAATGATTAAGAGTAATTGTGATTCTAACTGTATAAAATCAGTTACATCTCCTTTATCGCTATTATCTTTTATATTGAATGAAGCATATACTACAACAATAATAATGATGATTGACTCAACTGTGAATAAATAAAAATAAAATCGACATAACTTTAAAAACTGCAATTTAAATTTAGATTTTGTTTTTAATTTGTGTTGTTAGGATTTCTCAAATTTCTTACGATTCCGTAAATAATACAGAAGTAAAAAATGAAACGCTATTTTACCTAATTTAGCAAATTAGCAAACTTTTATTTCAGTACCTAATATTTACTGCTAATTTATATATTAATTTATTACTGTGTAGTAAATGCTTAACAAGGCTTCTCTGAAAGGTTTCTTGAATTCAAGGCTTTAATAGCTTATTTATCTGACTAATAAGCTACAGTGAACATAATTTAAGTAATAATAACATTATGGTTATCAATAATAGCAATAAAACGTAACAGACTTCTTTTAAAATGTATAAAATTATCTGCATATTTAATAAGACTAACACGATTACACAGCTCCAGTGTGGGTAACTTTTAGCAAACGCATTGGTTCATATCTTGTCACCACGGGACAAAAGAGAACATGAGTCCAAAAATTATGATTTACCTACTCTCAGTCATTTCATTATTCTTCACAGAAATCTCAATGCAATTATATTAAGCCTGAAGTTTTCAGCGAAAAAAAAAAGAATATTGATAATTACGAATGATTTTTTTGTAGTAATCGAAAAATTAATTAAGTATAATATTAGAATATTATTTTAATTTATTTTTCAGAATGTAGTCCTGAATCACATAACCACGTACTCCTAAAAAAATTGTCATTTTGGATGTTGCCTTATGATGTAATTTACATTCGAATAACAAATCTTTTTATTTTGAGTTTTATTTTGAATCTGAAAATAAATATTTCTTGACACTGAAAATGCTATAACTATTCACCGTTTTATTCCTATATTATATATCCGTTGTTTTACTTATTGGCAAAATGAAGCGTTTTTGAATGCTATGTTTATATGCATGTTATTAGTTTTTTGATTGTTCTTTCTTTTGTATTTTTGCAGAGGTTTTGGCTTCGTGACGTTTGCTGATCCCACTAGTGTAGATAAAGTGTTAGCTAGCGGAACCCACGAACTAGATGGTAAAAAGGTGAGTCATATTAATACTGATTTAGAATTCCCCCATCCTTTCTGCTTTGTTAAAATACGCTAAACAAAAGTAATCGCCATTTTATACAGCGCAGTTTGTGCTCTTAATGTTAATTTGAAGCAATACCTGTTGTTAGGTTAGTGTAAGAGATTGTGGCGATATAGTCAGTTTCGCTGACCATTTTTATTACACATGTTTCATTCTTTGAAAACAGTTCACGGTGAGCGTTTTCCTGTGTATTCCATCCAGACGCACAGCATGATATTTTGTGGATGGCAATTTCCTTTGCATTCGAGAGTTGCTTTTTCGTTGGGCTTACTTCCTGATATTGACTTATGTATATACCGCTTTTCAAACCAGTAATAGTCTTCTCAAGGAACCTTCGTTACTGATTACGATGTAATCACTAACAAGCAAAGACGCATACGGTTATACGTTGATTTTTATTATCACTTAACACATGTGGTATCCCGTGTCCATCACCCAGTTTATGTACCTTATCCCTCGAATACAAATGGAATATAATGGCTGAGGGCACATACTCCATGAGTTTTGCCAAGTCCTACCTTGTGTGGCAGGGATTCTTGCAATGATACTGATTTTAGCATTCTTCCTTAAACTTTGACCGTCATCCTGAATGTTGACGATGTCGCTTTCTCCGAAACTGAAGCAATTATTTCCTTGCCGATCTTTCAGAAATGCCATTAGTGCCGTGCACAACACAAAATTGGCGCAGCTCATAAAAGACCATAGGGTGACTAAAGTCAGCCTGGACGGTCGGGCTGCTCCCTACCCCACCCATCACACCATGGCATGGAGGTAGGAAGTAAGATGGAGTCGCCCTAAACAAGTTTCTCCGTACCCTGCTCTGAAGCACCGGCGATCCCTACGTGGTGACTAAAGCATTGGGTCATTTACCATTGAGTTCTATGGGATTTGACGCGTTCGGGTGTAAATATTTTGTAATTACTTCGCAAATATACATATAAATGTATATATTTTCTTTTTCTACAACACTTCAGAGTCCTAAGTATGTGAAAACAACATATTTTTAAACAAGCATTTCATTCTGAACGGAATTAAATGCTATACTTTTCACAGGACAGTTTTGTCAGAATGGTTTAATTTGAATGAAATATTTTTCACAAGTTTTCGTTAATTACATTAGAAAAAAAAATTAAGGTAATTCATTTTATTCGGTTAAGGTACAAAAATTAAGATCAAAGTTTATTGTATTATTAATATTAAAATTACGCTTTTTCTTTTCTATTTATAGAGCTTCTTCCTAAAATCTTTCTTAAATATGACATGTTTTTTGGCTTCTGAGGCATCTTTTAAATCGAAAAATGTAAGTCAATTTATAATTAATGCTCTATTCGGTTCATTTTAAATTAGAATTATTAGGAATTAGCGAAATACTTTATCGTATTTCGCTATTAATGACTTTCCTCTGAACATTTCTGAAAGGGAATAAAATAAGTTTTTTTTTTTTTTTTTTTTTTAAGTATTATTTAAAACTTGTAACTGAGTTATTATAAATGTAAAGGGAATAATTCTTTTAATTATACTTATCGGATTTTTTTTTTTTTTACCCTTCATTTCAACAATACATAATCCAAAACTCTTTATTACGTTTTTAAGTGCGCATCTCATAGCATTTGCTTTACAATACCTTTTAAAGATTGCTTTCCAATACGAACAATTCTTGCTTAAATAGTTTTATAACGTATTTGTCAACAGGATTTCAATTTATGTTTACAATTCAATATTAAGGTTATTATATATTTAGATAACATTTATAATCATTATAAATTAGATACATTTAATCATTAGATTTCTTTGACGTACTTTCACAGTTGTTTATAAGTGAATAAATTCTTCATTTCAAATACATTTATAATAATTTAATGAATATTTAAGTATTTTTGTCAAAGGCAGATACATTTTTTTGCAAGCACATGCATAAATACCCATACATATTTCCTATTTTCATTCCGGCATGTGCAAATCTTTAATTTCTGTGCATTCACTATATTTTTGCGTGTAAAGTAATTTACACTAATTTAGCATACACCCGAAAGTTTTACATAAAATATATATGAATATAATTTGAATGAAAATTATAAGTATTATTTTTTTTAATATACCCACTCAAAGTCAGTTTTTCTTTTCTTTTTCTTCAAAATTCCTCCACGATGGCATCTCTCTCTTTAGGCAGATAGCCCTTGCATGCGTTACTCTATTTAATAAAAACTTAATCTGACCTATGTGCCTAATTACAAATATTTTAACATACATAATTTTATATTTACATTTAGCCATCAAGTTTCAAAAACGTTTCAAATCTTCTAGAAATAAATTTTGGCAGATCTCTTTTAGCATTTTTCTTAAAATCTATATTTTTGTAGTGCAACAGCTTAGAATTTTATAAAACAAATTCATAATCAAAATCGCTGTTGTTAGTTATCGAAAAATAACCAAGATGTGATTTTTGCGTAAAATCCAGTAAACTATACAAATTGCTATTATCCATTACACTATGAATTTTCTTTCATGCGAGAGTGTCCCTTTTTCGATTTCTATGGAACTGTGTTGTGGTCGAAATACTATCAGAATCTTGTCAAGCGAGCTTCTGAATGTAAAGAAAGAACACCCCGTCTGGTGACCCAAGCTTCAAAGCAGTGCTTCACTTCTAGCGCGGAATGGCCCCTCCTCCCTTTCCTACCTCCATGCACCATGGAGGTAGTCCTTTCCTACCTCCATGCATCACACAATACAAAGTGTTTGCGGCTGTGCTGTTGCTCTTGATTCTTTTTTAAACTTGAGGACTAGACTGTGCAGAAGTGTTTAACTTTGTCTCTTTGAAAATATTTGGCAATACAGTGTTCCCAACCCATAATGAAACGCCACGCCCTTATGCACCTACCCAATACATTATGTAAAACTGCTTTTCTTAGACTTTAATAATTAAAAAAAATATTACATGCTTCTCCATTTGGCACTACACGGAAAGGGAGGAATGCCCCGTGGAAGAATTTTCAAGAAAAACTGGCTCATATTCCCGTTACACATGGGGAAAACCACGAAAACGCCATAAAACCAGCCCGTTTACTGGTACTCGAACCCGGGACCAAACTACTAGAGTTCGGCGGCTGGTAGGCAATGACGTTAATAACTTGTGTCCAAAAAGCCGGAAACTTTTTTCATAAAAAGCCATGTGCTGTTTCTTAAATGCAACACCATTGAAAATGAGTACAAGAGATGCATACTGGATTTAATATTGGTCATTTAAAAAGGTTTAATTTTTTAATCATTTTTAGTTGAACCTAACCTTACTGAGAATATCTGATCGAAATGAGCGCCGAACAAAAGGTTAAATTTGACAGCTATTAACAGCTGAAAAAGTCACTATTTCTATGATGTATGTCAGTAGGCCTTTGTCTATCAATTTGAAATGTGATTATCTATGTTCAGTGCGCTATAATTTTTCTGTCTTAGCAGAAAAATGATCTAACGCCCTCCATCTTTGGAATTTATTGTAATAGCCTAAACTTTCATTTCCAAATTTAAAATTCAACAAAGTGGCATTAACTGGGAGCTGGTCATCACTTGTTGTTTCACCAAACGGTGAAAGGTATTTGTTAGAAATAAATTAAAGTTAAGCAAATATGGTGATAAAAAGATTTACTTTTAAAATTAAGAAAAATTTTTCTTTTGGAAGACATTGAGTTTTGTGGAAAATGTCCGTATATTTCGATACAATTTGTATCAAGAGTTCCTATTCTTCAGAGGTGAAAACCTTTGAAGCATCTTTAGGAGAAAAACAAACTATATGTCTCGCTGTAGTGTAGAATCCTCTGCAAGAGAACAAGACATTTTGAGTTTCTTTGTTTCCCTGCTTGTTGGAAGAAGAGAGACCCGTCTCATATTCACTCGAAATAAGTAGAGCTTCAGTGTTAAAGCGTCTGAGTCTGAGCAGCAGTCGGAGTTTTATCTAATTCTGATGTTTAAATTGGCATGCTTCTTTTCTATTTTCAGTTACCAAAGAATATATTCTGAATAGAACGAAATTAATCAATTCCTGAGTATCATGCAAATTAGTTAAATTTTTAATTAAAAAATTTAATAAAATGTTGGGAAAGCCGAGTACCGCGTACTGAATTTTTGTATATGCAAATCACTTGATTTATCCAATTAAACATCTTTGTAACTTTAGCCGTTTTCTTTATTTTCAAGCTTCCCCCCCCCCCCCCCGAAAAAAAAAAGTTGTTTTAGCGAGAACATGAATTATATTTAGTGGATTTAATTAAATGAATTTTCATAACCTGCTTGAAGTGCTATATAGAGATACAAGAGTGGGAGAAGGAAATCATTATTATTATAGTAAAACAATACTTCTAAAAAAATACATCGTGTAAATAACGAACTTGAACCAAAGACATTTACTGAAGGCGGCTCCAACGTAAATTAAAATACACATTGTAACAAAGTAAAATTTCGGTTCGAAATACTGCATTTTTAAGGCATTTTATCTTTATTTATTTTTTTTATATACAGTGTGTCTTTATTTATTTAAATATTTATAATGTCATGAATAAAATTAAAATATGAATTAGAAGCATTAATAAAAAAATTATTCTGAAAACAAGGAACAAAGAATTCCAAATAAAAATGACAATAAATTTCACGAAGGAGAAGATTTTTCTAATTCTTCTGTTGGATTTTATAATAATATTAAATTAGTGTAATAAATAATTTAATTTTTAATTAAGATTTTTTTAATGTTGACGTTATACGCTGTTGTGTTATTTTCTTTTAATTTCATTACCATATCATGGTTAGTGGTTTAGCGCATTTTATACGGTAGTTTTAATTTATTAATCTTTAAATTCAGGAAAATTTTGTTCGATATATATATATATATATATATATATATATATATGTGTGTGTGTGGTGTGTGTGTGTGTGTGTGTGAAGAGAGAGATATGTTGTAGACAAAT